CTCCTCAGACCGTCTCATAAATACACTCTACTATACACACACACGCACACACACACTGAACGCAGTATGAGACTGCATCTTGGCTGCTGCAATGACGCAATAACCACAACCCTTTAGAAATGGATGCTAGAATTAAGGAGAGGGTGGAACAGAACGGACGGAGGGAGAGGCACTGGGTTGTTTTAAGAGCTTTTTTCCTTTGGCCCGCCCCCATTTCCACTTCTGGTAAAGGTTTGGTGGCAGAATGGCTTTCCCAGAATCACAGTGGATGTTGTCGGTAAGCCCTCATCTGAATGAAGTGTGTATATGAAGTACTTTAATACCATGAAGGAATATACCGCTGATTAAGTGAGTTTAGAGATTTGTTTTAGGACCATATTTTTTAGGTGCTGACTGTTGGTTGGTGCAGTGGAGGTTTCCTCCATGGCCTGGTTTCACTTTAATTCAGTGTGTGTTAATAATGGAGATGAATTGGAGAGAGAAATTCTGCTCAACTGCTGGTCATTCAGTAGTTCCCAAAATCAGGGACTAGATCCAGGGGCAGACATTTTCCATCGGTGTGAACAACACAGCACCACAGGAATTAAAAAAAAAATCTATTTTAATTTGTAAAATATTCTGGTTAATAACGTTGTGGAATCTGACCAATGACGGGTCAGTCCAGATTTCTGTGGCCTGTTAATTAAAAACACCTTGAAGTTAAACTCACTTTAAATTCTGATTATATTTTATTCCATCTTATATTTGATATATATATATATTTAAATCTACGTATTTTCAATATAGATTTATTCTATTCTGTTTCCTGCACCTCTTGATTTTCTTGGAATGCACTTGCAGGAGCAGCTGTAATACTTTCTGTCACACCACCAGATTCCGCCCAGGCATCAATGAAGTCGATGTGCTCATTGTAGTCGGGTCTGTGTTTTTGAATAGACAGACTTTCATCAGTGAAAAAGCTTGTTTCCAGGTCATTGTGTCAGAGGGTTATTCATATCTTCCTGTTGATGTTTCTCACTGTCTCCTCTCACCTCCTGCTCAGGACCAGTCTTTGTGGGCGTGTCTCGCTGCCATGTCAATGACACACAGGGAGCTGACCACAGCAGAAATGGCCTACGCTGCCATCGGAGAGGTTAGAGCTTTATCCACTGGGTCAATCAGTGAAAATATGCTGCTTTTACAGAGAGAAGAGAGCATTACATTTAATCTAATACATTTCAGTTAGTCAATTGTCACAGTTCATGTGTTATTTTTGCGAGGCCCTAAAAATCTTTCATTCCTTTGTTCTCTCTCTGTGTTCAGTTACCAAGGGTGCAGTACATCAAGATCATAAAGGAGCAGCCGTCCAAGGAATCATCCTTGGCCCACATGCTGTTGTTCAGTGGTCAGGTCCAGGAGGCCGAGGCCACCCTGCTACAGGCTGGTCTCATCTACAGGGCCATTCAGGTCAACATCAATCTTTTTAACTGGGAAAGGTAAAAACAAACACCGCCGCAGAAAGGGGGACTGTATGACTGGGTTCATGACATGGTTGAGGGCTTTCACTCTCACCTTCTAGTCCTCGGAGAACGCCTGTGTTTCATCTTCATCGTGTCATCTCTGCATCCAGGGCATTAGACTTGGCAGTCAAACACAAGACCCATGTGGACACTGTGCTGGCCTATAGAGAGAAGTTCCTGAAGAAGTTTGGCAGGAAGGAGACCAATCAGAGGTTTCTTCAGTATGCTGAAGGGGTGAGTGAGGGCAGGCTGTACTGCAGCGCTGGATTCTGGCTGCAGTCACACTTTTATTGATGGAGGCAGTGATTTTCTAAATGAGTTTTTAGCCCATTATTCTTTCATATGCTTGTTTTTATCCTGATTGCCTCTAGAAGAACATAAATAAATCCCACAGTGGTTGAAATAAACCTTTGAGGGGGAAACATGGTGCAAGTGTTTTATTCACACACCTGTTTCAGTCAGGTCAGCTGGAACAACTAGACTGACCATGTTTTAAAATCTGCCAAATCTGGAAATGTGACCAGCCATCTCATCCTTCCTTGTTTCCCTGCCAGGTGGAAGTGGACTGGACGAAAATCCAGGCTAAGTTGGAGATGGAAATGTCCAAAGAGCGAGAGAAAGCGGCGAACGCCTCTGTGAGGAGCAGCGTTTCTGTCCGCCGCTGATCTTCCTCATGCCTTCATCAAAGACACAGTGCACAGGTCATATTTAGTCACTCTTCACCGACCACCGCCACCTGATGTCAAAGGATAGATTACAGTGTAATCTGCAGACTGTATATATATATATTTTTTTTACTTATTTTTTGTAGCAGTGATTGATAGGACAATGTGCCTGTGGTTATAGTCCCCAAAAGAATGTGTTTATTAAAACGGAATCTATTTTTATGACTGGACAAGTAAGGAAATAAATGTCAATTTTTTACATTGGATGAAAAATCTTTTACAAACACGATTACAAAAAAAGATTTATTTTAGGTAATTTGAACTCGAAAAAAGGTTCTCTGAAAAAAATGTTCTTTATTTATGATAAATAAGAATGAGGAAAAAAGTAATTTACTCAAAGTCCAGACTATTAAAATATTTCCTGAAACATTTTCACTTTTTTTACATGATATTTTGTTGTGTTCTGTAGGTCATTCGCATAACAATGTTATTTTGTCTCTCATATTATGGCCTTTCTGTCATTGAAGTTAAAAAATGTGCCTGATCATTTTGGCAAAAAAACCCAAAACAATTAATTTATTGCTTGTTGTCATTATAGACACGTGTATTTTTTTTTACAATTGATATATTTAGAACAATGTCATCTATAAGGAAATGTAAGAAATAAAGCTATTAGAAATAAACTGTCCTTCCAAGTTTTCACATTACTGCTTATTTTTATTTTCTGTCTGATAGAATTACTGCTTGATTTCTTTTATTCATTGGTTCCCAAGGTGAAGGACAGCCCTCTTAGGGCGAACAGCACTATTGCAGGGGAGGGGAGAAAAGGGGATGGGGCGTGGGGGGATTCAGCAAATAGTTTAGGATTCCAGTGTTTTCTTTACTTTTGCCACATTGGTTAAATTGGACTAATATTTAATTTGATTTCCTTAGTTCAGTGAGAACAACAGTTTTCTAGGAACAGAGAAATTCAGAGTTTTAAAGCGATGGCTGTGAATGTGTGAAGTGGGGGAACACAACAATAGTCCTGTCTGCACAGGGGGGCGCTGCTGTAAACGTTTGGGAACAACTGTCATAACCTGAAAATGTAAAACTATTTTGTCTTTTAGTTTTATTTATTTTATAGTGTGAAAGATCCTTCAATCCCCCTTTTCCTCCTCCTCCTGATTCTTTCATTCATTTGTTCATCTTTTATGGCTTCATCCTTTTCAGGTCACAGGTGGAGGTGGAGCCAATCCCGGCAGCCATCAGATGTGGAGTCTGGACAGTTCACCAGTCCACTACAGACAAACAACCATTCACACTCACATTCACACCTGTGGTCAACAGAATGAACAATTATCACCTCCAATCAGCAGAGGATCAAACCAGTGATTGTTTTGCTGTAAGGCCAGTGCACTAACCACTCTTCCTCCGTGTGTCCCCATTTCTCTTCTCTTCAGGTGTAAATCCAACTGCTTGCCACGCAGCTCCACCCACTGGTTGTCAGAGGACCAGTCCAGCCAGTACCAGGGAGTGGACGGCTCAGGTGAAACATCTGCCTTTTTTCTCTCCTCTCTTTTTGAAGTCTACTCTCACTGTGTGACAAACTGAAGTCGTCCAGTCAATAAACGGTATTAATCTATAAAAAGAGCTGACAGTGAGGAGTCAGGTTTCGCATGCATTAGTGCAGACAGTGGACACACTCCTGACCACACCAGGAAGAGAAGAAATTAGATCACCATCTTCTCCACTGTAACATTTCTTCAACACTTTACATGCACGCTATTTTAGTCAGGAATAATGATGTGACGTCATTAACCAGCCATCTTTTTTTGAGACTTATTTATAAGAAATACGAATGTATTTGGACCAGTCTTCATATATAAACATTGGAAACATTTCATTTGTTCAAAAGTCCAAAATACCAAATCACAGTGAGCTTTTATTAAACCACATTTTTATCCTGTTCACACATTATTAAACCACTTCTAAGGTTTAGTTATTAAAGTAAACAGCCAAACATCGTAGGCTGTTTCCAAAAACAGAAAAAAAGAAAGTGATGGATATAACATCGAACTAATGTGAAATATGATGCTCATTGATTTGACCTTTAGCGACTTCCTGTTCTTTGTTCCACACGGTGGTGTAATGACTGGATGCGGGACTCGCTGACAGCAAATCCATTCTATGAGCCTGTGTTTGTACCAGTCCTGTATTTCTGATGTTCTTGTTCTGTTGTTCTAGTTCGTCTCCATCAGCTGCAGGTTTGACATTCTCTCCTCGTCTATGGAACACTCCCGCTCTATTTAATCTGAAACTCAACCTCTAATGGTTTGCCTTGCCTCCATCCATATTTGGTTTCTTGAGGCGGGTCACAGAGTCCACTTCATCCACCCATCAGTGGGTCCTGAGCAGGGACTGAATGCTTTTAACTGCAAACTGCATCCACCCACAAAATGTCCCTCTGGAAAACCCAGCCATCAGTGTAGACTGTTGCCTCTGCCGTCATCCTCCTCATCACCACCATCATCATCATCTGTAGTATTGGGTTACACCACAATCACACTCAGGCCTGAAGTCTGAGGAGCATTAGAGGAGCTCAGCACTTCTCCATGAAGTGTTTGGTTGGAGTTTGGTTCCTGTGGAATTTTTTCATTCATATTTTAGTCATAAAACATTTGGCAGGAAAAAAAAAGAATTTAAATGGTGTAAAGTTGTCGTTACACTCGTAGGTAGAAAGACACTGGAGCTTTTTAGATCGTCTAAGAGCAGGGAATTCCCTGCACCTGCTCATGTTTCACTAACCTGGTGAATTGACTTTTAAGTAGCTTCAGTGTTTCAATTAGAGCTTGGCAGAACACCATGGTCATCGTAACTCCAAGCATTGCAGACGATTGGTGAAATATTCAGGTACATTTGGTTAATAAGGCAAGATCTCCAGTTTTGCATTGATGAGTGTTTGAGTCATGTTAAAATTTTCTCCCATTTCTAGAATTTAAAAGAATTTGGATTGGTTGGTGTTGAGACACAAAATGCCCTTGGACAAACTAGTAGTTAACCACTGGTTAGTTTAAACTTTTATGATCAAGAATTTATTGCTAATACACCAGTACTATCTGTGTTTTAAACTCATACTGCAGAAGCTGAGAACTGTTGTGTGTTAATATGGAATCATTTAATGTCATATTTTATCCTCTGAAAAGAAACGAATGGTACAATTGGCCTAAAAATATCGGCATCATATATCGTCCATCGTGTACTTTCTAAAGATCGATATATATGTCGACCATAAAAAACCCAAATGATCGACTTTCAAACAGGTTGTTATCATGGGTTTTGAGGAACTGATGGAGGGTTTCAAGACTCTATGTAAATAGTTGATTCTTTATAGCTGGATCTTAATTCGCGCACCCACAGATTTTTGGTCTCTCGGATTCAGCAGAATATGAAGCACTGAGAATGGAACAGACTTTGACAGGATAACAGTTCCAGGGTGCCACGGAACGTTAAAGTGTGAAGGAACAACTTAATGCGATTTTCTGCTGCAGCCAAATTCTGTGTCCAACATTCTGAGCCTCGTCCCCAGCCTCCTTGGATGGTACTTTATAATCTCCATCACTTCACCTCTGACGCTCATTTGCATACAAACAGGTCCATAATCCCCCTTAATCTACCCAGACAGGTGGATTTTCTCAGCCTCCTCCTTTATACTGGACATTCAGGATTATTATAATTGCACTTGAGTTTGTGTCTCTCAGGGACGGTGACCCTTGTGGTATTTAAAATAAGAATGCATCTATTGTCTGTGCAGCTTTTGTCCCCCATCACACAGAGTTCCGGGATGTCCTTGCCGGGCTGTGCTGGGCTCCCGACACCTCCATCCGGACATCCCGTCTCTGCTCTGCAGCCCTGGGTGCTGCGGCTCTCACCCTGCGGTCCCCGCTCCTCTCACTGTCCGACAGCAGGTTGTCTTCGGATCGGTCTCTGTGCATCTCCTGCATGCTTTCCTCATACGTAGGTAAATACTTCACCTCATCGTAGGCTGGCAGGCTCGGGGAGGTGAAGTCTCCCAGGCTGTACTCCGGGTAGCGGTCCAGCAGGGAGTCCTGGGACGCTGATGCGTGTCCGTGGAAGAGGGAGGGCTCCTCGCCGCGGTCGTGGTGCGGGTGCCGGCGTGGACGGGGGCAGATGATCCGCTGGATGAAGTAGCCCATGGCGAAGAGCAGGAGCAGGATCAGGATTCCCGACAGCTTCCGCGTGAACCAGCCCACGTTGTCGAAGAAGATGTGGATGGGCAGTTTGCAGCAGCGAACCGCCGAGCCGGCGCTGCCGTTGGCGGCCGCGACCGGCGGGCAGCACTGCTGGCCGTCGCTGCACTGGACCTCCCCGCAGCTCCGCAGGGCTGCACAGGCGGAGAACAGACAAGCCGACAGGAGTGTCCCGGTGGTTCCAATTGTTGTCCTGCCGCCGCCCGACAGACGGGGCATCGTGCATTCAGGATCTTCCGGGATGCGAGGTGAACAGACGCCGCGTCTCCCGTGCGTGTGATGTTGTGATGTCCAGGTCGAAAAAGGTGGGATTTCACAGCCTGATCTGCCTTGGTTTCCAGCTGTGCGCTGATCAGATGCTCTCATAGTGTAGACACTGCAGCAGGCGGTGGGACAGCAGGTGAGAAAGACCTGTCTGTCTCTCCGTCTGTCTGCCCGTCTGTCTTAGGGAGGACAGGATCAGAGCAGCATCAGTGTGCACAGAGCACAGCAGGCTGTAACCGGACATCAGTATTTACATCGAACCTTATTTATCTCTGTCCCACTGTGTTAATATATATATTATTTGGTGCCTATAAGTCACTGAAAAAGAAAAGTCAGCAAAGTTCAAGTCATAATTTTTACACTCACAAACGAAATATCCAAGTAAAGTCGGAGAGTAAAGTGTTCAGAGTCAACAAAGGTACAAAGTCAGGTCTGCACCAACACAACATTCATCTGAACTTCAGTCCCAGTGAACCATATAACATAAGAAAGAGTATAGCATAAGTCAAAAGTGCTCTCAAGTCACCAAAGATTAGTCAAGAGTCAGGACCGGTGCACCAAAAAAAAAAAACAATTCTCCCGAGTCACATATTTGTGTCTTTGTCACCCAAAAAAAAAAAGAATATATATATGTATATATATATATATATAAACATAAATGAATAAATAAATTAGTCCAAATGCACCAAGTCACAAAGAAAAGTCTATTACATGTGTGAGCAAAACTAGACAGAGTCAACTCTGCACACCAACAACCAACCAAACAAACAGACCATAAACAGTGTACTGGTGAATTCAGAAGATATTTCAGTGATTTTACAGGACACGCATGCCTGCCATATTTGATGTGGATGACTGATAAATGTGTAACAAAGTTCTAGAGACAGTACAATTATTGGATATGAAGTTCACATCAATCTTAGTATACGTTGAAATCCATTAAACATTTTAATCTGATTAGTTTCACAAATTAATTGACACAATTAACGACTGCCCTGAATACAGCGTAACGCAGCTCGACACTTGAGAAAAGATAAGATGATAAAATTCGTCGAATGTGTTTAGGACGCCTGAGAGACCTGTCTGAACTCGTGTTCAATACAGCAATAATATAACAATATTCTTCATCCCCGTTTACTCTCTGAAAGATGCTTGAAAATCCCCGGACTCTACTTGATGATCATTGTCCCCAAAAGGCTAAATCCAGCTCTTTGCTCCTTCACTGAATCATGCATGCACACAATCAAAAATGTAACCAATAGGGGCCGATGCCTTTGACAAAGGGCGCCAACAGATCTAGCCCTTCATAAAAAATTAATAGTTCCTTCTGTATGGGTAGTAATGGCTCCCATTAGGAGAGTGTCTGGATTCACATTAGCTTAGCCGCATCCTAGAGAACCATGTGTCTACAGCCCGGAAGAACATAACCATAAATTTAAATCCCGACTCTAAACGATATTCTCCTCACCCAACCTGTTAATTTACACTGAAGATGTCCCACTGGATAACATCCAAGAATGACGAAGAGCTCACTAAGCCTTTCCACACGTAGAGAATATTAAGTGAATAATTAAACCACTCTGTATCCTCTGTCAGTGTCCTTGTCGGGAGGTTTCTGCAGGACTGTCATAACAGGGGCTGGCTCTTGAATTCAATTCAATTTGCATCAAAATTATTAAATGAAAAAAATCACAGGTTTAAAAATGATATAATGCATTTAATCGCACCACACTGATTTACACACTACTAGAAGGTGGTAATTTACCAAACATTTTGGTTGCCAGCAACAAGAAAATGTAAAAGATGAGCAATGTCATAAGCTTTATGGAGGCAGATACTTTAAACTGGTAATTTTTGATTAAATGATAATAAAAAAAATGATGTGTTGAATTAGCAACAACAGTCCTGGTGCAGACACCAGTCAGCTCACAGTAGATCAGATGACAGTGTTCAGAGCCAATAGAAGTCTTCAAATGTTATATAATAATATAATACACATAATATAAGGGGAGGTGGGGTTTGATGATATGATACCGTCCCTGTGAAACTGTTGTCTCATAAATCATGCTCCTAAACCTTTTCATCCTCAGCCTCTTCATGTCCCCAACAGCCCCGGTGTATTCTCTTTCTCCACTAAACAATAACTTTTGCACAGTTTCCTAAATCCAATTGCTGCTGCATTATGGCTTGATAATCAGTGGAAAAGTAGCATCATACCAACTGATTTATGCGGCATCACATTTCTGCCTGTAATCCGGCTCCACAGGGGAAACGTGATCACAGGGCCCTTCTAACCAAATAAACAAATACATAATCAATAACCTGTGGACCAGGGCTGAGTGCTGAGTTCAGAAAAACCCTTTTCATTCCATTGCCCTTAAGCTTTTCCCAGCACTTGTCCTTTTTTACGACTCTGTTGGCTTTTATTGACTTTGTTGACTATTATGGAACAACAGCTATTCTTGTTTACAGCTTTCACCCTTTAGGGTGACTCAGAATGTATGAAAGGACAGCTTCCTCCACGCAGAGGAAAACTCGACGCTAACTGATGATCGTAGAGTCAAATCAATGTGAGGATCCTCAGTGAGACATGAACAAGTTCTCAGACCTTTATTAATGGTGCTTGATAAGATCCCACTTTTTAATGACTATATTATTATTTTTTACCACTTACCACAGGATATAGTGTGAGTGAAGGGCCATGCGGTGGAGGGCTGATTTGTGGTGCTGCCTTATTTCACTAACATCAGTGGTTTGATTCCTGGCTCTAACAGATGGTCTTATCCTATATGATATAATCATCAATATCAATCAATATTAGAGATTGCCTTTAAGTCAACTAAATATTATCTGAATTTATTAGAATAAATAGTTTTGATATTTGGTTGACTAAAACAGAACTAAAATCCAAACAGTTCTGTTGACTAAATCAGGACTAAGACTGACTTAGTCAGAAGATTTAGACTAAATTGTAATATATTTACTGGTGTGTATAATCATCAGATGTACAGTAGACTCTCATTAGAAATAAACTCTGCAGACGGAGGTGAAAGAGTCACAGAGAAATAAAACCAAAGTCATCAAACCCTCACTTAACCCAGCGTTGACAAGTGTGCTCCTCCTGCACGGCCGGCAGTGAAGCACTAACACAAGCAGTGCAGTCTATCGCTGGCCTAAATGTCGTGTGCTGTGCTTCCATTTATCTGGCACAACGCTCTGCTGTGTTGTGCTTAATAATTCAGTCCTACGGGCTCCATTAGTTGTGTGCGATGATGAATGGTGGTGTTCATGTTCATCTGTAAGAGACACTGATGTACGGACCGCCCAACACTCAATGTCACCATTATTACGCTTGCATTAATTATGAAACAAAGGAAGCCTTGTCAGGCTGCAGGCTTTGTTAATGGCCCCACTGATGCTCCTCGGTTTCTCTTTGTTTGCACCAGAGCAGGAGTCACAACCTCAGGGTCATAGCCTGGAGTCCAACCTCAGACTCTGCAGCCATTAACCTACTGTACCATGGCCATGTACCAGAGCCCACACTCAGCTCAGGAATCTCCTGGAGCATGAGCGCCTGTATGAATGCCGCGGTTGTGTTGTGTCGGATTTGACGAGTGTTCAGGAAGACGCCTGTGTGTAATCTGTGTGTTAATGCTGTTTTTTGTTGTACGGCACAGACCCAGGACTGCAGGACACATGTGTGGGTGTCATCAGTCTCTGTTTATCCCCATTAGGTGGAGCTCTAATAAAAAGCAGAGGCAGCAGTCAGTGTAGACTGTGTGATTCCACCGAGTCCCAAACCGCAGTCATTTGACTCCCACGTACTTCCTCTAATCTTATCGCTCAGCTGGGCTGAAGCCTGATAGTGTATGAAGCAACTATAATTATCATTAGTGTTTGTTTGTGTGGGTGTCTTTGTAAGGTTTCAGGGGTTTCGTCTGATTTATACATCCCGTGGACACATGTGGTCAGAGGGGACGTTAGAAAGGAGACACAAAGGACAGATATGTGCTACAGGCCGTGGGAGTGACTTAATTTAAACAAATGATGTTCTTTTAGTCAGATGTGTTCTCAGTAGGCATGCAGACAGATGTTAGCTGCTGCTGAATGTGCAGGGCTGAGTCAGAAACCTGATTATTTATTTATTTATTCTTTTATGAACATCATTAACTGGGGAAATTGTTGTGTTAACAGCAGATCTGCTGTAACAGACTGCTCCTTGGAGGTGCCAAGTATGTGGTTCCTCTGGGAATAGAACCCAGCACTCTCTGCTTGCATGAAAGTCACACTAACCGTTACATTACATCTTACAATTGTATTGCATTTCCACACCAAGGTCAATAACTCCACCGTCCATTCACTTGTCGTCGGTCTAATCCAGGATTGTCAAACTCAAATTCACAGCAGACCAAGTCCCGGGCCAAACTTAATATTTATTGAAAAATTGACAACAATTGTTCATGTTTTTGTAATTGTAATTGTTCATGTAATGTAGAATTGTTTCATTTGGAAACAAACTTTAGTTTTGCATAAATATTATATCTGGAACAACCAAAGGTTAATATTCCAAATAAAACACACATCAGTGGTATTTGTTTCTTATCATGTCTCTTTATCTGTAGCCTTTCGAGTTTCTTTTTAATGTAAATCTTTTTTTCACAGGCCAACAACAAAAAAACCAAACAAAATAATGTGCTATAACATAGCTCATACATTGCTAATACTACAAACCCTGCCAGTATACAGGGGCTATACACTGATGGGCCAACCCTAGTACACATTTGATATGATCTCGCAGGCCAAATATAATTACAATGTGGGCTAGATTGGGCCCCCGGGCCTGAGTTTGACATGTGTGCAAAGCTGATATACACGTTATCATTGAAGCAGGAAACTGCGGAATATGTCATTTTCCATAGTCATGTGATGATCCACCCTCCTTCCCCCACGACCTTGACCAGGATGGAACTGTCAAAGATGAACGTAGGGTAGGTTGGTTTCTCGGTTCTGTGCTTCTTATCTTTGGTATATTTAAAAAAATTTAAATCCCCAATATTGATCATTTTGTTTAAATGTCATTGCCAAAGCTTGAACTGTACATTTCACTTGTCCTAGAACATTTTGACTGAGGCAGCTTCATGTGTCCAGCATGTTTTCCCAGCGTTGTGTGGCCTTTGGCTTGGAGATGAATCAGAATCCAGACTTCCTTTTAGAAAAAAAAAAACTTACAAAAAAGCTGCTTTTTGAGGCCAAATACTAAAAACTAAAAATCCACTCTGTGTCTTTTGGGAGTGACTCTGTTTGTTCTTAATAATTCCGATGATTTGGGGGAGGGGGCTAAGCTAAGCTGGAGGTTTTTATTTTACTCTGAATACTCCTTTGCTGTTGTCTTTATGTTGATCTTAATCATCATAAAACGCTGCCATCATTTATTTGGCTTTGAAGGGTAATAGCTCTAAGTGATTTGACTCAGCAGCGCTGCTCTCTTTTTAAATGGGAACCCACTGTTGCCAGGAAACCTTTTGTACATGTCCTGTCTACAACGATAGCCACTCTGAGGGAAAGGCTGCCAGGCCACCAGCATAGTTCTGTTGAAGAAAATTACAATTCGTTAAAGTTA